GAGCTTGTCCCTAAAGGTCACTTTTTTTTAAACAAGCTTCTTACTGATTGCTGGTATCTACACTGAGTTCCTTAACTTCTAGAGCAGGTTTTCCAAGTGCTTTGGTGCTGAGTGCCTTCATAATCTATGTGACATCCCTGGGAAGCTTACCATGGATGAAGACGACACCCAGATAAAGCCCTTTTATATTCTACCCTCAGTCTTTTCATCCTGAGCAATTGCTCCATGTATCAACAGAAGAATGAAGTTTGATCCATTAGGTGTGGGCTTATGGTAGCAGTGTATCACCTAAAGTGCAAGTGTAATATCTGTGTTTCCAATCTCGAACCCATGAGAATAGAATATTAAAGGTAGTAGTAGTTTATCTTCTTGGCTGACTGATCTTGCTGCTTGTAAAATCAGATTTGAGGAAAATAATTGTGTTTTATTAAGATATCAGTATCTCCCTCTCTTGATGATTTCAGTATCATTTCTGGGATGTTAGTATTTTAGTATGCTTTCTAATAATATTGATTTCCATTGTTTGGAAAAGCGTGTACTATAGTTATTGCTGTACAAAGTATGTTTTTGTTCCTAACCTTAAAGATATTTTACATGTCTAATGATTAGATGGCTTTATTTTTGTAAACAACTACCCATCCTTCCCCTCAAACCGAACCTTCTGTGTTCCATAACTATATAAACATGGATTATATAGCAGAAAAGCATTGCAAAAAACCTTCACAGTGCCACTGAGACCCCCAAAAAGACTGCAGGAGAGATTTGCAGAATTCACGGAGAGAAACTTCTGTGCAATTGTTATCCTCGAAGGTTGGATTGAAAAACAAAGGGAGAGAGCAACCCTATAGCCAAACTTATTAGAAAAAGCAGCAGTGACTGTATGTAGAGAATCTGTGCTGCATGCGTGAGGAAAGAGCCCTTGAGCTGAGCTGTAGCCCCAGCTGCCTGCACTGCTTTCCATCCAGCGGCCGAGAGAGAGAGCTTTGAGGCTCTATGTTCGAAGAGCCTGTGCTGCTCCTTGGCAGTGCGTGAGTATATGTAGAGAGCCCAGGTAAAGGGTTAAACATGGATATTTGACTCAGATTAATAGTGCTTTAATTTCATTTATAGGAATTGCTCTAAACCTCTAGTTATACTAAGAGTCACATCTATGAGCAAATTCATACGTGTTTTATAAAATCTGTGGGGACCTGATAGTATCGGGTCGTATGTAGAGGAGTTGAATTGCTCGACTTACTGATGGTGTTCAAATCTCTGTGTTACAGTGCGATTGATCCACGTAGTTAAATCATGTTGCTGGAGGATACACATAAGGAACAGAAGGTGTTGTCCTTGTCATTCACATGCAAGTGCTCAGAGGTTGCAGCACCTGCTTGGTCATGGACCTCAAAGTGCCCATGTCTGTGTCTGCTCCTTCAGCTGCAACCTGAGTGGCATCTGCCACAGGCAGAGCACGGGGCTCTGCGTGGGCGCTAGCAGGGCTGCACATGGGGCCAGGGCTTTGCTTTTTAGGTCTTTTGGATCTTACCTCAGACAGTATAAAATTTCATCCTTTAATGATGGTGACTGTGAATAGAGCTATGCTGTTATTTGTCTATTTGAGAAAAATAAGTATAGACATATAATAAACCTTGAGGAAGTGATAGAGTCAGCATAACATGAGTCCAGTAGAGTCCTTCAGTCAGCATGAGCTGCTGAAGCCTGGTTTCCTGCAGATTTGTGCCTTTTGTTTGATTGACTGGTAGCAAGAAGGTACAAGACAGAACTGAAGTTTTTCTTGTTACTGGGTGTGTATAGGGTATATGTGGGGCTGTTGGGTATCTGAGGAGATGGGGCCTTTTTGTAGCCCTTTACAAAATTTCTGTAATCTCTGGTGTGCAGCTGCATAATTTTGTAGCGTATGTAGGGAACAACTCAGCTTCTGAAAATTTATTTGGAATTAGTAAATGGTTCAAAAGTTAATGGCAGGAACAAATACGTGTGCATACCCATATCCTGAATGCAGCTGCATAAGCTCAAGGAGCAAGTGTAAGCCCAGGGAGATGATAGTACATGCTAGGAAAGGTGGTTGCAGTTAATGAAACTTAAATTTTTTTTTGATGGCAGAGTCAGATATAACTGTTGTCTTATATTAAGTATTACTGGAAATGATCAAATGTCAAAGATCCCAGCTTTGCACTTGGAGCCTCTGTATTGTCATTAATGAAAGCTGAACAAAGCCAAGATAACTGTGAAAGGCAATGCAAGTATGCATTAGGCCTTTTTTAAATAACTCTTGAAATTGAGTTCAAGTGAATAATTCTGTATAGACATTAAAGGAGTAGCAATAGAGCTTTTTCTTTCCAGTGAAAACAGTGTTTGTTTTTTTTTTCTTTTTTTTTCTTTTTTTTTTTTTAATAAAAGGCAGTAATTCATAGAAGAGTTCTGTTGACTAAGTCTTAAAATCAGCACTCTAAATCTTGTACGTTGCTGAACATGAAACATCTTCTGGATATCCTGAATTGTTATGGTTCCTACAAAGGTAATTATGTGACTAATATCTTCATGGTGGTAATTATGGATCTCCATCAGAGGTTTTGACTTAAATGTAGTATAGGTTTCAAAAGTAATTGATGCTTATGGCTAATTACCCGGAATGATATGAAGAGAAAGCATAATGCCAAGAGTTTTATTATTATTATTATTTATGAAACAAATCTTAATAAACCATTTAACCAAAGGATTGTATAGGAAGAGACTGGAAACCCTCAGGGTAAATATGCTGGCATAGAATGCAATTGCTGTAGGAGCTCATGAAATGCTTCCAGCTTTATGTGATATCACTAGTTTACTGCTGTTTTACCAATTCACCACCACTTTTTTTTTTCTTTCAGCCACACTCAATCTTCGTAGTACCCGTTTGCAAATCCATTCGTATGATACCTATGATAATTGTTTTGCCACACTGTCTTTTGGGGGGCCGTAACATGCCAACTTGCACTGTAATATTGAAGTCCAGTCCTAACGAGGAAAAGCAAGGTGGATGGTGTCCCTGTTTAGAAGGTGGTCGTGCCATAATTTACCTAATGGGTTTGAGCAAGAGGGGATACCTTCTCTTTGAATGATATATTCAAGATATGTTTAAGAACCCAGGGAAAAAGCTTAGCATAATTTCCATTGACTTAAAGTTGGTCTTGGGTTAGCAGAGCTGGGCTTAAAGAAAAAAGCCCTGCAGCTCCATTAAAAGTGGTGTTTATTAGAAGTGGTAGTTTCCTGTACCTTTAATCTTTAAATGTTTGTGTTTTTGCTGTCTCAGTATAAAGATAGACTTAATTTTCTGCTTTGTTACAGTTAATATAACTCTACTAATCCATTCCGTTTCAGATATATACATTTTTTACACCTGTTAGGTTTACTATACATTTTTATATATACTTTTCATCAAAGATCACTCATTTCTTTGGAAACAATGGTAGATTTCTTCTTCTGAACAGTGCTTTACCTAGTTTTTAAAAATATGTATACTTATTTCTAGGTGGGTTGCTTTAGCGAAATCTAGAAGTGTAATGTCGAGGGTAACGTAATGTTTGCAAATATCTCCCAGCACCTGTGCAACTGGAAATATTTTATCTTTGGCAAGTAGGGATATAAAAGACAAAATTGGAGGTGGAATAGCGAGATACAGAGATTTCTGAAATATTTTGCTGAGGAGCAATTAGAACATGGTCGGCTTCTGTGGTTGTTTTGTATCAGACCTCGTAATTCGGAGAGGAGAAAATGATAAACATTTAGGCTAAGTCTGAGAAGACTCTTCCTTTTTCTCCTGAGCTATTTTTATATTTTAGAACAGTAGGCTTAGATGTCTAAAATGCTATATTGTTTATAATCAAGCAGCGGATCAATAAAACAATAAGCACAAAACACTCAAGATATGATCTCTATTGCTGGATTGTGCATCTGAGGAAAACTTTATTATTAAGAAACTAGGAAGAGCCCTGGTTCAGAACAGAACAAATAGTATTTTTCTATTAGACTTTCCATACCTGTTTTCCGTTAATCAAAAGTGAAATCCACAATATCCTTTCAGATAATGGTTTGAAGTTGCAGGGAAATTAGGATAATTTTTTGTTAAAGAACTTATATAAAGTCCCTGGCTACCTTTTATAAATATATATTATATATAATACATTACAATGGAGAAGAGAGCTAGTCATGAGGTAGGGGTCACAGATTCAGAGGTAATTTAGAGTTTGGCAGTTGACTCAGACATGATCGGCAAGGAGATTTCCAAGAGACTGCAACTGTAAATTGGAAATAAATGGAAAAGGATTATATGAGTAGGAGGCAGCTTTGAATCTGTAATGCACATCCTGAGAATGACTTGTTCATAAAAGAGCATGTGTTTAATGTGTCACAGGAATATTTAAGCCACAGTGGTATTTGTATAAATATTTTATTTTGAAAGTTAGATTCTGGAATGGCTAGAAAGGAATTCAGCATGTATATCCTTGACATCGGTGCAAAGGATAAAGAAGCAATCACTAGAAACTCTTTTTTATTTTTTTCTCTTTCAGACTCATATTATTATGTTGCTGCTTATTTCCTCCTCAGTTTTGTAGTCCTTCATCTATTCTGTTACAAAGTATTTCTCTGTGAAAAAGCCAGGGGCTGTATTGGCTTGGGAGGCAGTGTGGGGAGAGCGACTTACTGGCAAGTCAGCGGTTCATGTTAGGGTGTGGGAGCGTGGTGACAGCTGAGGTGCCCAAACAGGGTGCTTGTCTCTGGTCCTGTTCTGCAATGACAGGGGAAGAGGGAGGTTTATGACCAGAGTAACAGTTGCCACAGTATGTTATATGGTGGCTTGTGGCCCTAATAAGTGTGTTATAAACCCCTGCCTGAGTCTCTGCTACCCCACCTATAGCAGCATGGAAAATATACAAATGAGTAACATCTGCAAGGTCACTGTGTTGCATGGTGACTTAGTTCTCCCTGTTATGGTTGTTTCATATTATTCTTTACAGGTGAGATCTGTGCTTTTAAAATCCACGGGCAAGAAATGCCTTTTGAAGCCGTTGTGCTAAACAAGACATCTGGAGAAGGTCGTCTTCGAGCAAAAAGGCCGATCGACTGTGAGCTGCAGAAGGAGTACACATTCATCATTCAGGCCTATGACTGTGGGTCAGGACCAAGTGGAACAAACTGGAAGAAATCTCACAAGTGAGTGAAAATGAGGAAAACAAAAATGTTGCTTTGGTATACATTTACATTATAGTAGAGATCAGGTTGAAGGATCCCTTTTATACTACAATTAGGTGGTGTACTAGTTTTGGTTTATTTTTGTGTTACTGCTTTCACATTAAACAAGTAGACTAAACATATCAACCAGGACATGGAAGCTAATTTACATTTGGCATTTGGAGGAGATTTAGAAGCAGTAGTTTTCTTTCTCTTCATCCCACTTCAAACAGTAAAAAATTAGGGAAATTGAATAGGTTTTGACTGTGTGCATAAGTGCAATCTGCAGCAGTGCTGCTCTTGCACAGTACTCTTCTGGCCTCGGCGTTTGGACAGGAAGTCCCAGAGTTGTTCAGCTCCTCCGAAGGGGGGATAATCCAAGTTAATAGGTGCTACTTCACACTGTGGTGCCAGTTCCCTTCATAACCTTAAATGGCACAGTCTCTTCACCTAGCTAATGAAACCGAGCTCCTGACCACTGATTAAAGATTCAATTTACTCGTGTAGATGTACAATACATACACAGTTGCACATACAGATATGCAACTACAGCTGTATGCAACTGCTATACACACTGCTTGTTTCACTATGAGAGCCATTAAAATAAATCATAGCAATTTTTCTTTCTTTTGCTCATTGAGGACACATGACAACCAAAAGTGTAATTAACTCTGTAATCCATCAGGACTTTTTAAGGATATTAAAAATTAAAATGCATGTTTTTAAGGAAGCCTCAAGTATCAAATAATGGTGAAGTTACAGAAGCAAATTTTGCTTCATATTATTAAAGCTTATGATGATTTTTCCAACATATGCCATAACAACATAGTAAGTGTTGAGCTTGAGGACTATTTTTGTCCAATCACAACCAAAATTAAATTTGGTGTGTTTAGGACCAGAAGTTGGTAGACTGGTGATAGTGGTGGTGTATCACATGGTAAATTAGGTTGTCTGAGGGTCCCATGGTTTATTCTTGGCTCTGCTCTTGGTCTAGAAATTTTGTTTACTACTGTGTCCTTTTCTTAACCAGTCTGTCTGTTCATATAGCAAGTTATTTTAAAGGATTGTCTTTAGGGTTTGTTCTTAGAATACAAAAGGACTTTCATTTTTGACCCTCAAGACTTTACAAAATGCTCTTATTGATAACATGACACAGTCATTATCCTAATGAGAACTGCCAGCAAGAAGGACCCTACCCTTTGATTTGTTCTTAAGTGAGTATGTCGCTGTGAATCACTAGGCAAGCTTAGGCCCACACTGACAGTAGATGTGTGGATCATTTCTGTCCTTAAATATTGTGTCATGCACCAGTTTGAGGGACTTTGACAAGCTAGATGTGTAATATTGCAGGTCGTTAGGACATTAGGTAATTTAAATCAGCAGAATACAAGTGGCTTATTTTATACTGAAGAATGTTCTTAAACTGACTATTTTTAGTAATAAACATGGAACAATACTGTAATACTCTTTCTCTTTAATTTATTACCTCATTTTGCATTGAAATAATTTCACTTTTTGCTGGTGGTCTGTTTTAAGAGGGAGCACCATGAAACCTTCTCCTTGATGGCTGTGGCGATATGTTTTCACTTAACATCACGATCGGTTTTCTAATTGCTTTCTCATTTTAGCAGAGGTTTACCTTGTTTTCTAGTTATTTTCTGCAATAGTCCTCTAAATGTTCAGGGAACAATCTGTTACTATGATCTTACTTAAAATCATAATCAGTTAATTCATTTGCTTCTTTTAGGGCAGTGGTCCACATCCAGGTCAAGGATGTCAATGAGTTTGCACCAGCTTTCAAGGAGAGTGCGTATAAGGCCACAGTGACAGAGGGAAAGATCTATGAAAGTATCCTGCAAGTAGAAGCCTTGGATGAGGACTGTTCTCCACAGTACAGCCAGATATGCAATTATGAAATTGTCACAACAGATGTTCCTTTTGCTATTGACAGAAACGGTGAGTGTGGAGATGGATGCAGTTCTAAGTGCCAGGCGGCATAGAGTAATGTTTGTACATAGTAACACCACCAGCTGATGTCAGTGGATACTGATAATATGCCCCTTTTTGTTTTTACTAAAGAGAGGAATCTTGTTCTCGCTTTGAAGGATGAAGAGTGTTATGTTGGAAAAGTGCATCCCTTTTACATAAGGTTTGGTCAGAATCTGGTGTAGTTATTTATCATGGAACCGAATAATCTAGTTTCAGAAGAGCAATATTTTTAGCTGTCAGTTGATTAATTCCTGTAATTATCTCAGATCTGGTTTCCTGTCAAGGGGATGACATTTCCTAATGCCGGTGCGTGGTTGTGTTGTATGGAGTTTGTTCACTGTTAGTCCCATTCTCTTGAACTTTCTGCATTAGACTGCAGAAGGGACTATCTTCTGGAAATATTTCTTGGTTGCACAAACATTCAGGGAGTAATTCCCCAGGTCTACCCATTTGTGGTGCTTCCTGAAGCAATGCCCTTATTCTGAAGTATGGAATAAAATATGGTTTGTGGAAGAAAATACACACTGGATAAGTAGTAACTCTTTTTTCTGGCTTTTAGTTTTCCGATATAGTTATATCGGGGGAAAAAATAAAAATATATAATTTTTATTTGCAGTGGTTTCTGACTTGGGCTGCCCTGCTTGTTATCTTCTAGTCAACTTGTCACAGCCCCAAACTTGTCACTGAGTTTGGGAGTGGCGGTTTGGCTGCCATATAATTCGATTGAAGATCTTCCGTTCTTTTCACTTCTGACAATGTAAAGTATAGTCCCTCTGTCTTTCAAGGACTTCAGCAGTCCTATAATGCCATCTGTTTCCAGATCAAGGTCCTGATTTTTGTGAAGCTGGGGGAAGAGACATGTAATGGAGAGCTGGCAGGTGGTGCTATGCAAGCAGTGTGCTGAGACATCTAAGAAAAAATCCAGTACACCTTGTAACTGTTATTCACACAGCCGTGCTGCTATAGATATTCAAAATCAAAATTCCTGTGCCCCTAGAAGTTGTTTCTCCAGAACAAGCACTTGGTGTATATGCCTAGGGGTGTGCTGATTTATCTTTCCTAACAGAATCATTTAATCCATGCTCTATGTAGGAGGAGAATACTTTTTGGAAGTTGAATCTAATTTTTGACCAAATTAGAAATTGAAAGCATACATGGAGCTGCTGGTTTCTCCCAGCAGCTATTTTCATATTGGGGTGTTTTTTCAAAAAACTCCTTCTCCTATTCTCAAATGATTCATGTTTGTTTGTGCAGCTTTTGCATGATGGATAGCTGAGTATCAAAAGATAATAACTGGTTAGCATCAATGAAATGCAAATGATATTGGGGAAACAAGCCCTCTTATAATAATACTGTCATTGGGAGGCAAGCATTTGGTGTGCTCTTTAGGAAGTGTAATAGTAATGCTTATGATTGTGTTTAAGTAAATGGGGTCAGCTGGCACAATAACCTTTCATTAGAGCAATAGCACAAAGGATTTTTATAAATGGAGTGAAGCAATTGGAATTAGATATATGCATGCAGTTCCTTCTGAGCTGCTCCTGCTCCTGGATTATCTCTGGTTGTGAGAACTCCCATCTTCTGATAAAAGGTAGTTTTCATGTTTCTGTTTGAAACTACTGTCCTTCCAGAGGTGACTTGCAGTTTGTGGTTTGTTTCTTAGCAGAATTGCAGGTGGTTTTGTAGAAGGCTTGGGGCAGCTATCACGGATGCTGCATGGTACAGCTGGCTCTGGAGTGGCCAGGGCTTTCCCGCAAGCTCAGGTTGCATCTAAAGGATGTGGAAATGTGGAATGCCCTTGGTTACATACTTGCCCTGATGTGCTTGTCACCAGCTTTTCTGGCAAAGGCAAAGAGAAAATCCTATACTTAAATATGACTTCAAATAGTGAATAAAGATGAGTAATTGGTGGGAGATTGTAATACTTGCAGTTTTTTGGTCGTGAATTCCATTAATAACTTGTTGATGTCTTTGTTCTCTAAAAGAGCAGTGCTGCCACGATCAGCAGTAATTGCAGTCTAATTTTCAGTTTTCTTTAGATAATGGTAATTGTTTATCCCACTGGGATTTGAGATAGAATAGATGGTTGCACTTTTATTTTGTGACAGAAATATGCTGCTTAGTTCTAACACATTTCACAGCTCAGAATATCTCTCTGTGCCAGCTGAGTTACGCTTTATCTGCTGCAAATTCTTTGGCCTTGTGCCCATTTTTATTAGCTGTGGGGTGTCTTAAAATAGATGTACAGCATGTCTAGGTCTCTGTTTGTTATGTGCTGTGCTAATTAAGATTTTGCTTATAGTTTTGCTTATTGTGAAAAGCACATCTAGTCAATGAATTTGACTATTTCTAGTGGAAGACTTGGCACTATGTCTCATGCAAGTGATGACTTTTTCTGTTTTGAGTAATTTAAATATGTTTGCTTGTTTGTTTTCCTTTAATCCAGACCCCATTGAAATCAATTCACAGATTTGCATTGCCTACACTGAGTATTGGATCAGATGTTTAGAAACAAATCTAAAAAGTAGTGGGTGGCCCCAAAACTCTGGGCTGTGTGAGGAAAGCATGTGGTTTTAGATGATGCGAGTTTTTCACTGCCAAACTATGAAAATAGCCACTAGTGGAGGCCTTTGAAACATGCTGTTCTGTCAGCTTTAACCTTTTATCATTCTCTTTTTAGGCAAAAGTTGTATTTTATATCTAAATCAATCCAGGGAATGTTTTGCTTTCTTGAAATATTATAATGCATATGGGGAATGTTTGCAGAAAGAAGGAAAGAAACCATCAGCCTGTAGCAGTGCAGAGCCCACTTCACTCACCAGACCATGAGGCAATCTAGACACCCAGGGCTGGCACAGGACAGGGCCACATTATGTCACTAAATTATGCACCTAAATTCTATGTAGAATAAAGCTTCCCATTTCTGTTTGGCAACTTTGACCATGTGTGTAAAATTTCTTGCTGAATAAAATTATGTTGTGTTATGAAACCGTAATACTAAGAAAATAGACTCTCGTGTATATCATGAGCATAATTTGGAAAGTAATGAACTCTTACCATTAAGTGATGGTATTTTATAGCTAAGGGACAAATTCAGGCTTTGCTGCAAAAAGAACTAGGACTAAATGGATAAGATGCATTTTAACAGATGTTTGCATGCCATCTAGTTTAGTTGTCATCCTAGCAGAGAGTCCTAATCACCAGTTCAGCTGTCATCATTCAGTACTGCCTAGATTGTTTTTTTTTAAGTAACTAAACCACAGCGTGAGACTCGATCGCAGTATCAGCAGAACAACACTTTCAATGTATTATCTACCTTTGTTTGTGAGGCCACGCGATCAGAGAGGTGAAGAATATAGGTATAGATACAAATTCGGTTATGATTCTGACCTATGACTTCACCTTGGGGTGGGGATAGGGAAATTTATGTCTGTTCTTAGCTTTGTCATTTCTAAAATGGCCATAGTATTTGACCACCACTGGGAAGCACTTTGTGACTACATGTTCAAATTGTTCAATGTGAAAACGAGTTAAAAAGCCCACTCATCTGTCCTGTCAGTATAGATTTTATCAAGCTATATGTCTTAGCAAATAGACCTCGGCAGGGCCTCACAAGGTCATGGAGAAGCTTTTGCACCACTGAGGTATGTGTCAGGAGCTACACAAACATGGTATTGTGTCAGAAAAGAAGTGAAACTTTACAGTTAAGCTCCTCCTTCCTCCCTTTTCTCTTTTCCTAACTGACGATTTCTTTCTGTTACCATTAAAAAGAGCACTTTTGTCACAGAAACCTACTCTCTTCCTCCCACTTGACTCAGGCTGCCCGGCTCCCAGTGGTGCTCAGCAGCCAGGACTGCTCATGAGACCAGACCAGCCCAGCCCTGCGACATTTGCAGGTTACAAGATTCAGTTTTATTCTTTTTACTCACCCAGGCAATAACTCTGAGATTTAAGAGGGAATTGCCGTAGTAGATTAGATCATTAGTCAGAGTTTTCCCTTGCTCTTGTGATTTCAATCAGCTGCTCAAAGCATGATGAAAGAAGCCTGTGAAATATGGAGGGCTGTATTGAATTATGCCCCCAAGCTGACCTTTGAGAAATAGAGATGTGCTGGCATGTGCCCTGAGATAGGAATATTTATATTCCTGTTGTCATTTGTTTGGGTATTTTTTAAAATCTATTATAGCTATGGAGATTTCCAGAAAAATGCAAAGAAGAACTGTGGAAAATGAATTCTATGAGTAACCGTGAGCTATGTTGGAAAGTATGTACTTCTGTAATTTAAAACCCCCCTTTTTAATGTTATTGAGTACCCTTTTGTTCATGGTAAAATGTAAATATAAATTCTTAGTCTATTTACATTAATTGTCCTGTGTTTATAGTGCATCCCCTATGTGATTGTCTTGATAAAATTGTAAAATAACAAAGTAGCATAAAGCATTAGAGGTAACAGAAGAAACAGAACAATTAGGAAATCAATAAACTATTCAGTAACAGCTACAAGACATTCAGGTGACCTTCCAATATAAAACCTAAATAGTCCAAATCTTTGGAGTCTACATCTTGAGAGACCATAATGAAATACAAATCTTAGAAGATAGTTTAGTGAAATTCAAATATGTTGTAGTTACTTACAAATCTTAGAAGGCATTTCACATGTCAAGCAAAATCTATCAGTTTGCTAGTGCATTTTTGTCAGTTTCAGTTTCTAGAGAATTCTTTAGTTATCATAGGGTAAAACAGTAGCAAAGAGAACATAAGGAAGTATAAAAATGCATATAAGAAATAATGCAGAAAGAAATACTGAGAAGATATTAAAAGAAAATCAAGCACACAATATCAGTTTTTCATTAAATCTTTTTAGGTATGTGTAAATCAAAAAAAAATGAGATAGTAAAATGGGTAGATGAGATTTTTTGTTTTACTAATTACTCTAAAAAAAGAAAAAGGTTTATTTGGTTACTGTGGTTCTGTGTGTGTGGGGCAGAGGACTCTCGTGGCAGGGTTCTGTGTACCTGGCCAGAGCAGAGGCCCTGCAAGTGGAAGAGGAGAAAGCTGGAGAACACAGCGTTGTTTCCATATTAGGCTTTCCAGGTCCTTCTCCTTACGCCTCTTTTTTTGTGATGCTGAAACAGTGATAAGGGGATTGGTGAAAGGCTTTATTAAAAACTTCATTTTTTTGCCTTTTCCTTTTCTCAAGTTTTGGATGAATGACAAAGTGTTGGCATGATCCAACATTAGGTACTTAGATCATCACTTGTTGAACTAGGACCGCTTTATTAACTCTCCTTCAGGATTTTGCTGCTCCCATTTCCAAATTTAGGCTTAACAACTTGCTTTACAGATCTATGTTGTAGGCAGTTATAACGTGGAAGATTGATCCAGAGCTTTCCCACTTATAAAAAGTTAGTTTCTTGGATTTTGAACAAGCAAGCTCATTCAAAGAGAGCAGTCTAGAAAATGTGAAACATATTAAGCAGTTTCAGTATAAACTAGAAATGAATTTCAGTGGAAATAGATGGAATGACAGTGCTGAACTAAATATTCTAAATCGCATTTGAACAGTGATCTTCCAGTTCTGCAGGAAGTATTCTCTGGAAAGATCTTTCTATTTCCTTGTGCAAGTAGTCGTTTCTTTATTCCTGGTGCAGATAATTTGTCTCCCTTATTTATACTTCAGGTTTAGCAGATGTTAGCTCAGTGTGGTCATAGCAAATGCTGGTCATCTTGCTTGTATAGGTGAAGTTTTGGGGCCTCAATATCCTTTCTCTACTTTTAAAACACAGGGGAAGTGATATAAAGGGTTCAGAATACAGGGGAAGTGATATAAAGGGCAATAACAGCAGGCGGAAAAGGAAGATACTTTGTGTTCCTTGCTGTCTCTGTCTCAAGTTTTTGAGTTGTCTTCTGCTTGATCCATGGCATTAGCAGAAAAACATAACTTTAGCCAAAGAATTATTTATTTATTATTTTTATTTTATTTAAGATGGATTAAGAAGAATAATACTATCTAGTCCTCGTAGTTGTCCTGTGAGCTCCAAAGAGTGTTCTGGTCACAAAGGACTGGATCAACCAGCCCCGGAAGTTTTAATCTGCATGGGTTTACCCAGGAAGTGATTGTTGAATGCTGTCTTGTGTTGAATCTACAGGTAACATCAGAAACACTGAGAAGCTGATCTACGATAAACAGCATCAGTATGAGATAATGGTAACAGCTTCGGACTGTGGGCAAAAACATGCAAATGAAAATGTCTTGGTGCAAGTTAATGTCAAACCAGTGTGCAAACCAGGCTGGCAAGGTAAAGTTTAAAAGTTTATGTAGTTTAAATTTTTTTTTGTGCTCTCTTTTCTTTGGTGTTTTTTTTTCCCTCACATGAGCAAATTCTGGTGCCTTTTGCAGTGGTATAGAAAACTGCTGCTATCTCTTATGCTTACTTTATTCAGGACATGTTGAAAATGAGGATAATACTGGTTCAGTTGTTTACAGTTGCCATGTTTGCCTTCATGGCAAAAAAGAGCACATTAGGAAAGAAAAAAGCAAAAGTTCTACTCTAACAAGTGATCTTTTAATTCAGTCTGAATATACTGCGAAGCTAAAAAATGATACTGCTGCCTACTTTTCTTCTGGTACTCCTTTAGATAAATTGGTTTAGAACTACCATGAGAAAGTACTTTCCTGTCCTGTGTTGGAATTGTTTGTATATATTTGTTTTTCCTGTATATGCACATACATGTAAGTCAAGATGTGTTCAGCTGGCAGCCAGAGTAAAACAACTGGTTTATTCTCATTAGTGTCCTCATATTGAGACATTACAGCTGGAACTACTTTTGTGAAAAAATAAAGTTGCAAGTTTTTGGAGACTTCTCTTCTAAAATGAGGGCAAATCTAGATGGCATTGGATTGGGAAGATACATTTGCCACAAATATAGAATTAAGGTGCAAATGAGAGCTGCTGTAGTGGCAAATTGACTGAATATAGCCACATTGTGCAGATGTCATTTAGGACGAACCTGAGTATAAAAGAAAATGCTTGCAAAGGGAAAAATCCGTTTTACTGTTGTCCTTGGGTAAATCTGTAGAATTGACAGAAGAAAAAGGGGTTTATTTGCAAAATGTCAGCCTTGATCTGGAGGATCTTGCGATGCAGTGAATTTGCAGTATTATGACTCCATTTTGCCCAAACTTTAGAGCAGATGATATTTAAATTTTTCAGGTACATGTTGTATTCTCTCTCTCCAAGTATTTTGACTGGTAAAGATAAAATATTTTCACGTTTCATAACTGAGTTTGAATATTCCAAACCTTACTGTTTATGCTATAAAACAAAAAATCCTTTCAGTTGATCTATTCAGTTTTCATTTTATGGAATCATTCCTAACGGATGAAACAATACCAGGTCTTAGTGTGTGAATCATATTGAAATTAATTGACTCCGATTTTTGTCTTTTTTCCATTTTTATTTCATTGAATGGATAATTTTTGCACAGAAATCCCACAAAAGATATTGTTTTATTTTCCAATATTATCATACTCATGTTATAATTCAATAGTAAAATTGATATAGTAAAAATACTCATTGGGATATGTTCAAGTGTTCCAGAAGAGTAATGAAAACAACCTCAAATAAGATTTGTATTATTTTTGTATTTTGAAGTGTGGCTTGTTTCTTAGGTTTTGTGGAGTGTGTGCAACCTGTTTATGGTTTTAGCAAGAGCTGGACATCAGCTCTGGTTTTTATGCTTATGCTGCTCTATTTTTTTCATCTGTCCTGGAAATTGGAGAGCTGCTTGTGAACTGTGGTTTGTTTAACACTAGGTAGCTAATAGGAAAGGCTACCAGCTTGCAATTTTCAATGTATGATGTTGACAGACTAGACTACTTGTCTGTTAGTATTATTAAAAAGAAAAAAAGGAAAAGAAAGAAAAAAAAGAGAGAAAACAACATAAGTAAAACAATAAAACAGTACATAAAAAGAACAGCTTATCTAAAGCATATCAGAAATATAGAGAAAGGCCAAATTCAACCACAGTAAATTTTATGAAACAATATCCTTTTTCTTTATTTGGATTATGGGCTTTTATTTCCGTGGCAATCTAACACAGATTTGTTCTACCTTCTTACTGATCTGCGCTAAGTTTTACAATGGGTCTTCGTCATAGGCAGTGGAAAATACCAAATACAGCTGCCTATGATTCTTATTAATTTCTTATAAAACAGCAGCCAACAGGTATGTTCCTTATGTTTTGAAATAATAATGTATATGAAAGCTTTGGGTGACTAAAAATACTCAATAATATTTACCTTGAAAGAATAAATGAATATTCTGAGTCTTTGGTTATAATACAGAGGCTGCCAAAACGTGATACATGATTTTTGTCTTGTTCTTCACTGTTACCTTGAACAGATAAACACAGGGAATTTCAATTTATTACACTGGCAGTTGATTCTTAAAAGCTACTAGGCTTAGTAATCTGATTGTTGTACAGATCTTACAGTGATTATCATAAACTAACACGATAGCTGTTCTAATGTGATTTCAGTGTTAAAAATTTCAATGCAGTATCAGATGCCCTTCAAATATCCTACATTGCACTGGGCTGAGACAGTGAAGAATTGGCATACCTAAAATGTCATGTACAAATTGATTCCTGTTTCTGGAGGCTGACTCCACATGACTAACATGTATAGCAGGGAAAATAAAATTCAGCAGGCCTAGGTGCTGTTTTTTAAACAATTTTCCCTTGGACAGAGAATAATCCTAATACTATTCAAGGCTTCATTAAATCTAGGAGCTATTTCTCTTGTTTTGGGGGGCATTGATATACTGCTGCTAAACCTTTCCACACAGCACACAGATGTTTTGAACCTCCGACAAGCCTCTGTTTGCCCAAGAGCTTTGTCGAAACAGAAACTTGAACCGAACAGTCATCCAGCAGTTCCGAGTATCCACTCTAAAAAGGTCTAAGCATTAAACTAGAAATCAATTAACCCAATTCATTTCTAATCAGTTATTTTAGTTTTAGTTTAGTTTGTCCACTGACTTCACAAGAGCTATGGTACAAGTTTTCTGTCCGTGCTGCTGCATCCGGGTTCGTTTCTACTCATTTCAGACAACTGAATCGCCACTTCTTGCCAGATTGTGAATACATTATAAATTATAAATACCTTATAAATGTAAGTTAGAAAATGGTTTCTCTTTTACTGTGAAAATGCACTAATTATAAGAAGGAATATAAGTGGAAAATAATAGAAATAATCCGACTCCAAGTTTGTGTTACACGATACTGTAAATACTGTCTTTTTCAGCACATTCTTGATGGTTTTCTCTCTTCCCTTGGGGCTTTGCTTTTGAAGAGAAAAAAGACTGCATTTTTTTCTGTAGATTCACATCCAACATGATGATTCTTATTACACTAGTTTTATTGTCACATAAATATTGATTTCTGTGAAATACTTCTGCTTTATTCAAAACAGGGAGGATTCAAACGTTACCAAAAAAAAGGGAATATTATAACAAAATCAGATAAGGGTGGAGAATAATGCATGTAATCATAGCTTATCAGCACAGTTGCACTGAAGTAGAAGTGAATGATAGGGAGGAAATTAGAACTGTGTGAAAGTTATTTTCTTTCTTTTCTGACCTGCTCTGCAAATTAGAAGCCATATTACACATCATGAAAGCAGAGATCTTTCCATTATGGGAAAGTATATACTGAAACTCCAAATCCCATAAAAGTGTCTTCTTTTATCAGCTGAAAACTTTTCTTCTGTTTGACATATTCATGACTATCTATTGCTTCAATAAAATCTCTTTTTCTCTTTAAACTTCACAGCGCTTTGTTGGTAAAATAGCATACATTTGCATGTTTTCTTTGCACAAAATTTAATAACAGCAGCAAAATTTCCCCAGAAGTGATACTGAGTAGTTATGGATGGACTGTTGTGTTCTCAAGATTTCAGAATTTTTTCCATTTGTATGTGAGGTAGACTGTAAACTTTCTGAAAGATTTTCAAAAATATAATCAGGAGTAATACAGGAATGTCAGTGTCATTTAAAGTATGTGTAAAAACATTGCATCATTGGAAAGGAGAAAAAATAAGCATCAAAAACATTGCCAGCATATTGAGAATGTTCCAGTTAGGAACTGGGGCAAGAAAATAAAATTCTTAATATCAGGTGATCTCTAAATAAGAAAAAGGGTGTGTGTTTTTTTTTTTTTTAAAAAAAAAAAGGTAATTTAGATCATGGTTTCTTTAACTAACTTTTTATCATGATGTCATGACAGTGGCTTTTCCTAACTTTTACTACTTTCAGAAAGATCTTAGCAGAACTGATGAAAGACTTAATTTTCCTTGCCTGTGCTGCTACTGCGTTGGTATAATAAGAAATGGAAATAAAATGTAATACACCTGCGTGGTGAAAGTTGCTTGATGCACAAGCAGTTGAAAGCATTTCCTTATTGACATGCTGAGCTCCCTAGTGGTACTGAAGTACTACAAAGGGAGAAGAAAGGAGTTTCTGCTTGAAAATGAAGGACAGAATCAAGTTACCAGAGTGTCTAGAACATATTTTTGAGACTGCTAGCTCATTAGCTGACCAATTAAGCCAAAAGTCAGACTGTGCTCTAACATCCAATTGATTTCAAATAGGAAGTAGTTACTAGGGCTGAAAGCCCAGGAAAGTTTCCTCCAAACCAGGCAGCCTAATATCCCAAAAACCTATCTGAGGATTTTGGCTTTTCTGAAAACACATATTTAAGAAACAATGAAGGCTGAGCATGTATCTCAGGGAGATGAATATGTACCAAAGAAGTAAGAGTTGTATTTTCCAAAAAGTTCTGTACCACGACGCAAAGGCGAGACAGCCCAAAAATGAATAGCCAGCTTGTCTGCAGGTGGTTGAGGCTTTATCCCCAGTTGGGTCAAAGATCACTTGATTTTTTTTTTCCAAGTTTAATATAGCCCCCATAGCCAATATTTAGTATCCTCCAACTAAGAGAAGTTAGGACTTCACTTGATGAGGAAACAGGATTTCATAGTGCCCAGTCTGAAGTGTCCTACTGATTTGGGAAAGATTCGCTGTATCAATCTTCCACTACAAATCCATATAAATACTTCTTTTTAAAAAAAAAACTGAATAAAAGCATTATAAAGTACATGTAAGAGTAATTAGTACATCACTGAAATGTAGTACTTCCTTTTAAAAACACATGTGCTTCTTTAAGTTGACATAGGGTCTGTGACCACCAGAAGGCAGAGACTTGCAACCCCTTTTCTATGGCCTTGTTTTCTGAGGCC